CACTCGCTCACTCTTAGCGAATAGCTGGTATTCTAACTGGTAAAATGTAATGTATTGTCATGATAGGCTGGGTTTAGTTATGTCGAGTTGGAGTTGCTACAGTAAGCCTAGGTTGGATTAGATTTTAAATTTAGATTTGGTGTAAATTTTAAATTTAGATTTGGTGTAGTCCCTACAAAATACTTTTGTAGGGAGTATACAAAATGTCCTGTATTTAACCTGCACAGGAACTTGGAGAACTACGCCGGGAACCCTAATGGGATTTTTTGCTGTATATAAAAAAAAAAGGTGTAGTGAACTCAACCCAGCCTAGCCACGTGATATAATTCCAGTCTAAGCAGGCGATATGGAAACTACATTCTTAACCATTATGTAGGAGCTATGAGTGAAACGTCTAGGTAAGATTTAAACATTGCCCTTGTCTTAAAGCCCACCTGGAAGCTGAAGTAGTCACCTTCCACTGCTGAATAATTTAACGTCAAAAAACATAATTCGGTGAATTGATTGACTTTGAAAGTTGCGTAACTAGCTGAATAAATCTAACACCGAGTCATAATTCTAATATACTACCAATAAGGATACAAAGGAACTAGTAAGCATGTAATATCAACAACAGCGCTAAATGTCTGTAGTAATAATAATAGTAATATAGTCAATTGTGGAGAGAGGCCAGGTGGTATGGCAGCGCTGCGGTTGCCAGATACCTGCCAGTCATCAGTAGTCAGAGGAGCAGCAGCGCGCGCAAGCTACTTGATTCAATGACCCACCTCACCTCTCCGCGAATAACAATGGATCGAGTCTCCTTCAATTGTCTGACGTGTGTGTGTTGCAGTAAACAGGATTATGAGAGGCGCAAAGTACAAAAGACTAACGGTAAAGCTCGCCTCGATAACACTTTACAAAGTTACAATACTCTGGTGGATAGCCTAGGTGAGGTTAGCACGTCTGTGTGTACTCTGTGTGTAGCTACACCTAAGTGTAGTTACAGGATGAGAGCTACGCTCGTGGTGTCCCGTCTTCCCAGCACTCTTTGTCATATAACGCTTTGAAACTACTGACGGTCTTGGCCTCCACCACCTTCTCACCTAACTTGTTCCAACCGTCTACCACTCTGTTTACGAAAGTGAATTTTCTTATATTTCTTCGGCATCTGTGTTTAGCTAGTTTAAATCTATGACCTCTTGTTCTTAAAGTTCCATGACCTCTTTGAAAGCCACACACACACACACGTGTGTGTGTGTGTGTGTGAAGGAGATTTTAACACTATTATATTATTAATAAACACCGAGAACTCTATCACCCGACCAGAATTCGAACCCATGATGGCCAGAATCACCCCCAAATGTACACCAGATGATTGATTGATTGATGAAGATTAAGCCACCCAAAAGGTGGCACGGGCATGAATAGCTCGTAAGTGGTGGGCCTTTTGAGCCATTACCAGTATCAAGAGCTGATACTGGAGATCTGTGGAGATGCGACTGCACCCTGCGTGACAGGAGATGTCTCCCGTGTGTACACCAAGACTGACCAATCCTGATAGACAGTCAATGGTGTGGGGGGTCACGGTACTGTGTGCGTTAAGGGGCCACTATATACGGTGGGTAATGTTGAATCCTGATAATGAGTGTCGGTGATGACTATAAGTGATCATTATGTTAACATCTAAATATACCATGAAGGATTCGGATAGTCACAATAACGTGGCTAAAGTATGTTGACCAGACCACACACTAGAAGGTGAAGGGACGACGACGTTTCGGTCCGTCCTGGATCATTCTCAAGTAGATTGTACAATCAACTTGAGAGTGGTCCAGGACGGACCGAAACGTCGTCGTCCCTTCACCTTCTAGTGTGTGGTCTGGTCAACAAGGATTCGGATAGTTTATATTATAATATGACAATCTGTGAAACCGAAGTCAGTAAGTAAATAAGGTGTTTGGTGTTTCCTAGTCGACGAAACTGTTGCTGTTGGTGCGTGGCCAATGCAACTGTTAGTATTGTCTACGATGTGTGTGTTGATAGTGAAGCTAGTATTGATTTTTTGAATTCCTCGCATTTATTTAGTCGGTGTTAGGGGCCCAATCACTTGGTCTGGACGGTAGAGCGACGGTCTCGCTTCATGCAGGTCTGTGGTGGTGGTGGTGGATGGCTTGATGCAAGTGGATGGCTGTGGTGGTGGTGGGTGGTTGTGGTGGGTGGTGGTGGTGGGTGGCTGTGGTGGTGGTGGGTGGTTGTGGTGGTGGTGGCTGTGGTGGTGGTGGGTGGCTGTGGTGGTGGTGGGTGTTTGTGGTGGTGGGTGGTTGTGGTGGGTGGTGGTTGTGGTGGTGGTGGTGGGTGGCGTTGGTATGCAAGACGCCTCATCATGCACGTGACTGACAGCTCCCAGACGGCAGAGTGACAGCTGCCTCACCGTATCCACCACTGAATGACACTCTGCTCGCTCCCTGACAGTCCTCCTTCACTCCTGTGCACTCTCAGACTGACATATGTGTTTTATATTGTTGCTGTGTTACCTTTGTTGGTGTGTTACCTTTGTTGGTGTGTTACCTTTGTTGGTGTGTTACCTTTGTTGGTGTGTTACCTTTGTTGGTGTGTTACCTTTGTTGGTGTGTTACCTTTGTTGGTGTGGCCCTTTGTAAATATTTTAGTGCCTTATTTTATTTAATTTTGACCTTGTAACTGTCTTTATTAATTTTATTTTAGTATGTATATGAAGAAATGCAATTGTCATGTTATTTACATGATGGCAACTAACACTAGTGGCCTCTGAGGACAGGAAGCAGGCGGCTTGTCAAAGGTATCCTAGAGGGAATTTGAACGGTATTCAACTTTCTTCAATACAGCTGTATTTTTGAAGATGAGGTTTGTGCTTGGATACAGTAATCCAGGGCGCACCAGAGATGTATAAAGTTTAATAACTACTTTCTTTTCCTTTATTTAAAATCAACTAGATTTACAAAAATAGCTTTATGTGTGTGTACTCACCTAGTTGTGTTTGCGGGGGTTGAGCTCTGGCTCTTTGGTCCCGCTTCTCAACCGTCAATCAACAGGTGTACAGATTCTTGAGCCTATTGGGCTCTATCATATCTACACTTGAAACTGTATATGGAGTCAGCCTCCACCACATCACTGCCAATGCATTCCATTTGTCAACCACTGTGTGTGTTGTGTGTGTGTTGTGTGTGTGTGTGTGTGTGTGTGTGTGTGTGTGTGTGTGTGTGTGTGTGTGTGTGTGTGTGTGTGTGTGTGTGTGTGTGTGAACGTAATCATCTGTCACGTGTAAAGTGCTTTTCATTGATGAGCAGGGAAATGACGGCTGGATTAAAGAATATTTGGCCGATGTTCATGAATGGGCGACGTTCAGAGGAAAACATTATTTTGGTCTGACCGAAGCAATGGATTCAGATATATACTGCGCGTCAACCAACACGCCTTTCACTCCGGGTTGCCTTGTCCCAGGAATACCTGATAGTGTAGCCAGTCCTCATAAACAAAGGCCCAAAGTCCATTCCATGCACCCGCCAAAGCCCCCTGTGTTATGAATGAAAAACCAACCCGTCCTCGACTCGAGTCCATTACATCCAGCGGTCGACCCCACAGACGCATTCATAAATGTTTACATGCTGTTCATTCAAAACGGGAATTTTCTCAAGTATAATTTATTATAATATATTAGCATATTGTGCATATATAGGCATTGGTTAAGTTAGGTGTTTAGGTTCTGTTGGCGATTATTTGTATTTTTAGTACGTGGGTGAAGCATTTACAGCATTCCATGGCGGGGGCATGGAATGGACTTTGGGCCTTTGTTTAGAGGTGAGTACGACCTGATGTACAGTGGGCTGATGTACGACCCCACAACTGATTACGTTCGAACACTTCTCCAACAAGTGCTAAGCTGACAACCTCTGTTCGAAGCCGAACACTGTAAATGCCTCACCCACATACTGCAAATAATCGCCAACAGAACCTATACACCTAACCTAACCAATGGCTAAATGTGCACAGTATGCTGATATATATCAAAGGAATTTCTATTCTACCCCAAGTCAAAAATTGTCGTAGTAGAAAATGGTAGCGGCTCGCCAATCTGACATACCTTGTTTTCTGTTTTGGGTCCTCTGGTAGGGTAGAATAAGGGCCACTTTAGTACGACAGTTTCTTGACGCTGGGAACCTTAGGAGGACGGGCTGGTAGTGGGTTGAAAGTCGACCTGCAGGAAGCAACACGGTCGCTCCACCGTCCAGCAGGGTGGGATCCATCCTGCCCAGGGTTCGAACCCAGGCTCGCTAGGTTGTAAAAAGACTGTACTGCTACACTACATGTTGCTGGTGAATGTAATGTGTAAGTTTGTGGAGTTATAATAATGTCCTGATATCCAAATATAATAAGAGCTACTTCATTCTGAGCAAATGTTTAGTGTTTAAGAAACTGGTGCTCGCTACCTAGAGTACTGCCTACTTTCCTCCTGCCAGATCATTAGGCCAGTACAGTGCTCCATGACATGTATTCACTAATGTGCTCTATACAATTAAGAGTAGCTGTACCATATATGCTAGTCATTAGATTTATAGATTTACATGCGTGTTTATTTAGAAGAGCCCCGAGTCTTGGAACCCCTTTTTGATTTACCCCTTTGATTAAACCCCTTGGTTTACCCTTCAAAGACTTTGAAGGGTAGTCCCTGAAAACACAAACCGTAACTGACTCTATTTTCCGCTTGTTACAACTTGTAATAAAGTTGTTACATCTTGGCTTAACGTGTTTATGACGTATTAGAACGTTGTTACAACTTGTTACATTGGTTCTTATAACTTGTTAGGTGTTATATCATGTTCGAACGTTGTAGCAACGTCGTAGTTTCGCTGTGTTTTTGGCGGGATCTTTGTGATGTTAAGGTCGTCGTGGCCTCTTTAGCATTTCATGGTAAAATATATAGCTCGTTCCACCGTCAGTTCAAACCTAACCACGTCATTACTACAACTTGTGCTTTACAGAGTCATCACACAAGGGAGGAGAGGCGAGGGTGGAAGGTGGAGGCGACGCAGCCAGAGGCAGCGCAGGGGACGCAGCCAGAGGCAGCGGGGTCCGTGTACACACGCTGCTCTTCAACGTGACTGTCCCCCGCCGAGAGAGGGTCACCTCCGCCTCCCTCAGGCTCTACGCTCTCATTACCCGGGACCAGTACGCTTATATTGGTGAGAAAACCTGAAGTATGTTGACCAGACCACACACTAGAAGCTGAAGGGACGACGACGTTTCGGTCCGTCCTGGACCATTCTCAAGTCGATCGACTTGAGAATGGTCCAGAACGGACCGAAACGTCGTCGTCCCTTCAACTTCTAGTGTGTGGTATGGTCAACATACTTCAGCCACGTTATTGTGACTCATCGCCTGCAGAAAACCTGAAATTCGTACGGGTGTAGGGGCCAGATTCACGAAGCAGTTATGCAAGCACTTACGAACCTGTATGTACATCTTTTCTCAATCTTTGGCGGCTTTGTTTACAATTATTAAACAGTTAATGAGCTCCGAAGCACCAGGAGGCTGTTTATAACAATAACAACAGTTGAATGGGAAGTTTTCATGCTTGTAAACTGTTTAATAAATGTAATCAAAGGCGTCAAAGATTGAGGAAAGATGTACACGTTCGTAAGTGCTTGCGTAAGTGCTTTCGTGAATCTGGCCCAGCTGGACCTCATTTTTCATTGTATGTCTTTGCGGTTGTAAATATAGATTCACATGACAAAATGTGGGTCCTGGGCATTGTCTAAAGAAGATGGAGGAAAGTTCGAGATTTGAACTTAGGATATACAATTGATCTGTGGCACAGTAGTTACACACTTAGACTCCCTAAAGGATGACCCCAAGTTCGATTTCCGAGCAAGACCAGATGTCTGTGCGAGTTTTCTTGCCTGCGGGAGTCGGTTTAATTAATATATTAGGAACTCGTACCTGTGGGCGATAGCGAAAAGGTGGCTAGTCACAAAATGAGTTGAGGAACTGGTCCCAGTGATCTTATCTTGAGATGATTTTGGGGCTTAGCGTCCCCGCGGCCCGGTCCTCGACCAGGCCTCCTTTTATTTATTTATTTATTTATATACAAGAAGATACATTGGGTTTGAGAGAATACATAGCATAGTGTTTACAATCTTGTAAAGCCACTAGTACACGCAGCGTTTCGGGCAGGTCCTTAATCTAACAGATAATTTAAAGTAGGTAAATTCTAGCCTCCTTTTTGTTACACATCCCCAGGAAGCAGCCCGTAGCAGCTGTGTAACTCTCAGGTACCTATTTACTGTTAGGTGAACAGGCGCATCAGGGGTGAAAGAAACTCTGCCCATTTGTTTCCGCCTCCACCGGGAATCGAACCCGGAATCTCAGGACTACGCTGTCCACTCAGCTGTCAGCAAAAGCAAACTGATACCTGGTTGATACCTAGTTGATGGGGTTCTGGGAGTTCTTCTACTCCAAGCCCGGCCCGAGGCCAGGCTTGACTTGTGAGAGTTTGGTCCACTAGGCTGTTGCTCTGGCTAAGTTAACTGGCTAAGCTAAACTGCATATGCAATGAACTAGGCATTTGTTTGGAGTTCTAGTATTTCCCAGTTACTGGGAAATACTAGAAAGTATTTCTAGTATTTCCCCAGTAACTAGAAAAAAGTATCTCTTTGGTGTAGGTGTGGAGCGTCGGGTCCGTCTGGTGATCGAGACAGAGCGAGGCATCACGCTGGACGACATCACGCCGCAGGGGCTGGTGGTGAGCGACACGGAGAGTGGCGGCGGCGGCCTGGGCACCGGCAGGGGAGGCGTGCAGGTCACTGTGTGCGAGAGAGACATCTACGAGCTGCAGAATGCCTGGGAGACGTTCGACGTCACCTCTGCCGTCAAGTACTGGATGGCTCACCCCTCCGTCCCGCAACTGTTGCAGGTACCAAGACGCACATTTTCTCGCCACCTCTCCCTCGGTCATTCTCTCTTTTCCAAGCTCATCATACACCTTCCTTCCGTTTTCCCTTTTCTAAGCTCACCATACACCTTCCATTTTCCCTTTTCCATAAATTTTTTTTATTTAGTAACACATGTTGAGAAATATTTAAATTCCATATCGCAGTACTCCCCTTATTAAAATGTTGTCATGCAATCTGTAGTACTGTACTGATTCATGTTTATCCAATGAGCTTTGTACTACAGCCTCGCCCAGTACTGTCTAAATATTATAGTTCTATCAGTACTCACCCTTCCACAGTACTACAGATTTGTAGTTATTACAAAAGGTTTCAGAACTTGCCAACATGTTTATTATCAAATCAAAAATTATTTTAAGTATTTGATTTACGTTTCAAAATCACTGCAAGCCCTCAGTGTCTAAAATTATTATGGTTTAAATGAACAAATTCACAAGGGCCGTGACGAGGATTCGAACCTGCGTCCAGGAGCATCCTGGACGCAGTTTAATTATGGTTTAAGATTTGTCCAAAACGACATGCATATTTGTCATGTATAGATACTGATGGATAAAGGGACAAGATACCAACTTGTCACTTTGTCTATCAAAACACATATCAAAACAAATTCTTAAATATTTATGAACAGCTTCCCTCTAAACGCTTCAAGACAGTTTCCTGAGGTCAGTTCAAACACCTCCAAGGATATTCTGTATTCCCTGAACCATTTTTAAAAACAATGTAAAAATAAAGGCCATCTCATAAATTGGTGACCTCGCTAATAACTGGTATTGTGCACACAGATTCACATCGAATCAGTGTTCTCGACGGTCGGGGAAGGTGGAGACATGGACGTGGCGACAGCGCCCCGCACAGACAGCGAGCCCCTCCTCCTCCTCTACTCCTCCACCAGGCACCGCCACCAGGCCCGCAAGGAGCTTGACCTCATGATCTCCCACGAGTATGAGGATCATCCAGAGCATAAGGTGAGCAGCTAGAACTTTGTGGAGGGTTGGCTGTGTGTGTTTGACAAAGGGGCGAATCTGGGGTAAGTAGGTTGATGTAGGTGTTTACACCTGGTCTGTATAGGTACAGTAGGTGTTTACACCTGGTCTGTATAGGTACAGTAGGTGTTTATACCTGGTCTGTATAGGTACAGTAGGTGTTTACACCTGGTCTGTATAGGTATAGTAGGTGTTTACACCTGGTCTGTATAGGTATAGCAGGTGTTTGCACCTGGTCTGTATAGGTATAGTAGGTGTTTACACCTGGTCTGTGTAGCAAGTGAATGGGAACTTCTGCATGAAAAGTGACATTGTGCACTTTTGTGGCAGGTAACATTAGCTGAGTTTGGGGTAATTTAGCGGGTATTCTGTTTATAATGTGTGTGTATGTAGGGGGGGGGGGCTTGTGTTGGGGGGTGGAGGGTTAGAGGAGATAAAGGGTTCCTGTGTGTGGTAGGTAAGGAAATGTTTGGTTATAGGAATCCATAAGAGAGGCAATGGATTCCAGTTGAGGGACTCGTGTTGATTAACTGCATTAACAGATAAGGGAATACAAAGATTGTGCCTAATTTAAAGAATAAACAGCAAGAGAATTACTTCACCTATGAAAATGTCATCGGCTGCAAGTCAGGCAGGTAATGACTAGTAGGAAAAATTGAGGGACGAGGCTGATGCTTGGGAATGCAATGAATGCAAAAGTAAAAGGTGCAGGACAAATCAGTATCAAATGACATCTCAACTTCCACTCGGTACATAGACTTTAGATACAGTTGGAAGAAACACTTGATAGTGATACTGTACTAGTGTTTTCTTCAAGTTTTTGTCTTGTCGTTTATAGAGGCGAAGGAGACGGCGGTCAATAGAAGACCCTGAGAGATTAAGATCCCGAAGGAATGTAGCAGAGCTGCAGGAAGAGGAAAGCAATGTGATCTGGGAGGGGGAGCTGGATGTTCCTGGACTCCCCACACAAGCTCAAAATCCGTTCGGAGGTAAGGTTAGTGCTGCACCTTCGCTGGCCCAGAGCTTCATCTCCCTTTCTTATATGAATGCAATCTCTTATTACCTATTAATCTGTTTATATATAATGTGCTCTTTAAGCTCAGTTGTCCAATCAGGCAGTTATTAGTTTGTGTTACTCATTTTCCATCATTGGTAGTTACACATTTATTATTATTAACATCTTTATTGACAAAATTAATTACAGTTTTGCCTAATCTGAGGATTTTGATTAGTCTTATTAAAGTGAGGATAATGCTGGTATTCACTGTCACGCAGGACAGAGGGTCATACATAAGACAATAGGTCTAAACTGTAGGCTGAAGCACATATATATCATGGTTACAATCAATGTTTTAATGTATGGAGATGTGAAAACAACTTTCTATTGTTCACTGCACAGGCATAACCAGTACTTGTTCCTGCCACAAATTGTTTCCAGTTTATTTTATGTAACACTATACTGCATATACCACATATACTGTTGCTGCATATACCACATACTGTTGGTGCATATACCACATATACTGTTGCCATAATATTTACGCAGAATTGTTACTGTATAGAGGACAGCCTCTTATTAGATTTGTCTTTTCTCGACCTCATAGAATAGAATGGCAATAGGGCCAGTCTTTCAGTTATTGTTTGCTACAGATGTATATAGAACTGTTCACTAAATCTCCAGTAAACAAGGTTCATTTCACCACAATGCTTGGTATCCTTGTAGGTCGTGCCAAAGGGCGCAGGCCACGCAAGAGGAAAGCAAAGAACGGGTGCAAGAAGAAGCCTCTGAGGGTGGATTTCAAGGACATCGGCTGGGACACGTGGATCATCGCCCCGCCCTCATATGAGGTATGAAACATATCATTTCCCTGTAACCAAGTGTTTTACACCAACTTTGATGATGCTGATGATTAAAATAAACACTGAATATAATAATAATAGTAACAGTAACAGCTCTAATACTGTATTAATGTAAAAATATTAAAACTATATTAATTTTTATTTTATTATAGTTCACAATATTTAAGATGAACATCTTGTGTAGTTCAGAACGGCTTAACTAAGTGTTTCGTCGAGGTCACAGACTCTCAAGTAATAGTTTATGGTTGTAGACTTTAAGGCTTAATCTCAAGAGGATTTTTAAGGTCACACTAACTTGCTAACCAACAAGTTTATTTTAATCCTCATGTTCATTTATTCAATATGACCAAACAATTTAAATATACTCTTAAGTTTTATGATCTACTGACTTTAGTTCCCCTGCATCTTTCCATGACATTTATTTTGCTTTTGTTTTGTTTTCCTAACACCAAAAATGCATCTCAGAATACCCATGTGTACAGCTCTGACTCTTAATTTTTTAGTTCTCATTGCACACCAGTTATTTTCATCCAGGTACAGGGGTTAACAGGGGTTAACCCCTGTACCACTAGTTGTCCATTTTGTTCATCCTTAACCTGTCATCATCATTCTCACTATTTTACACACTACATAGAGAAATGTCTGTCTATAACTTTTATGCTGTAACATGTACACTTCACATTTTAGGTACAATCATGACTTCTTTCAAGTCATCTGGTACAGAGTAACTTATCCATGTTTTCAAATGTTCCATACTCATTCAGTGCTCAACCTTCCACTGTATGTAATTGTTTCTGCATATGCATCAATTCATGCAGCTTTCCCATATTTCAGCATTTGCACTTGTGTACTTATATCTTCCATCAAGAAACTTCTTGCATTCTTCCCACACCAACAAAACCTAGCATGTTTATATTTGTTTCTTTCATCAGTTTCACATGCAGTATAAACTTTTAAAAATACTTAATCCAAATGCATCTATTTCCTTATTCACCAGAGTTACATGTTCCTATATGTATCATTAATCCCAGTAACTTTTCCACCAGTCTCCTTACATTTTTATAACTTTTCCAAAGTAAATTTGTTATCTGTAAAATTTTTATATAATCTTTGAGGAAGTGTCGTATTCATGGTCCACTGTTTTTTTTATGCTTTACTTTTTCACAAATATTTTACTTGTCAAACTTCCTTTCTTCTCTAGTTTCCTTTAATTTCCATCCACAGAATCCACTTTCCTTATCAGAAAACAGCATTGATTTAAATGTTTAAATTAAAAAGATCAATACCTCATTGATTTAATACAAATAGTATTAAACTAATAAATAATATAACAAATATACAAATATTAACAATTAGTGATGACGCTAATAATAATATTTGAATACAGTATTTCACAAGCAAGCTGCACCAGGTACAGCTAAGACAACAATTGACAAAATATGGTCCATAACACACAGAAATCACACTAACGTGATGTATCCAATGAACAAATCCACAAGGGCCGTGACGAGGATTCGAACCTGCGTCCGGGAGCATCCCAGACACTGCCTTAATCGACTGAGTTATAACTTTTTTTTTAACCCTGTCGTAGCTCAGTCGATTAAGGCAGTGTCTGGGATGCTCCCGGACGCAGGTTCGAATCCCCGTCACGGCCCTTGTGGATCTGTTCAATGGTCCATAACATCTTTCCAAACTTTCACCCAAGACATTCTTGTAACTGAACTCTTCCTCAACAGGCTAATCAGTGCAGCGGCAAGTGCAACTATCCCCTGGCCTCCCACCTGAGCCCGACCAAACACGCCGTGGTGCAGAACCTGGTTCACTCTCTGCATCCAGACCGCACCTCCCGGGCCTGCTGCGTCCCCACTCTCCTGGGTCCCATCTCCCTGCTTTACTTGGAAAACGGCATCACAACATTCAAGTACGACTACGACGACATGGTAGTGCTAGAGTGTGGCTGCAGATAGTGGTGTGTTGGGGGTGGGAGATAAGTAAACATAGTGGTGCTAATGACATTGAGAAACAATGATGGCAGTGATGGTGGTGATATTAGGTGAAACATGATCACTGGTGCTAGCAAGTGACTTCCTAAGTAACAAAAATGAGCCACAGTGACAGATAAGTAAACAAAGGGAGCGTAGTAACAGCCATTAATGACAAATGAGGCAATAAGAGGTGCAACCTCAATGTTGCTGATGACATGCAAATCAGAAATCTTTGACGAGTTAATAAGAAACAAATATATGCAGTGCAGAACACGTTCTTGGTAAAAATAAATTTTTTTCAGGAAAGTCGTGAGTTTCTAGTGAGAGCTCGTTACAGAAGCATTGATTTGATTATAATGTGGTACATTAATGAACTTGTGTGATGGGGAATAATTTCTGAACTGTTATAGATGTGCGTGTATGTGTATATAGTCTTTGATACAGATTTCTATCCCAACTGCATTTTTGAAGGAAAATATATATAATTGTCTCAGTGAATAATGGGCAGTATGTAATTAAGTTTATATTGATGTATATTTTCATTTCAAGATAAGAGATGCTTTATTATTATAATTTTAAGAAATACTAACTCTAAAAACGAGCATATACACAACTGCACACACAAATATATTCACAAACTCGGATAAACAGATGTACATTGCCATTGTAAGGTATTAAAATATTATAGATTTTAAAATATTTAATATATCATTGACGTAATTTGAAACATGGAGACGGAATGTACTGCCATATGGCAGAGAAAGATGCACGGTCTGAGGGGGACATTCGGAGAAAGCAGTAAATCTAGGCTATCAATCATTTAGTGCGGCAAGAAAGCCACAGTCAAGCTTGCAGCCTGAAGGTAAAACACAATTTTGTAGTCTGTTAGGTTTGATTGACTTTGGTACCTTAAAATTTTGTTTAACAAAGTGGAAATAGTTGAGCAGTGATTAAAAAAAAAATTAAATCCAAACCATGGAGTTTTGAGTCGCTGAGAAGTTCTTGGCTGTGATTAGGCCTAGCATTGTATATTGAAATACAGTACATGGAAATGGCGGGGGAGGGGGGGAGCCAGTATTTGTGAGTGAAAAATTAATTTAGCCAAACGTGATAGTGTGTGACTGGTTAGTCTCGGATGAATCGCATCATTTATGTGTACTTCAGAATGGCTTACATCTGTCTTAATGATATGCTTGTGCATGCACACCACACTAGTTGACATATATATAAACCCCATGACTGTCATAACTTAATCTTATGCACTCTCTAATATGTGCTTGTAGGGCCACTTTAAACCACTACGCATTTGCAATCATTCCTGCACCTTTTCTTCATTACATACTCTTGATACCATGTACAGTATGTACTACCCCCACCTACCTCAACTAGGTCACTATTCGTAGACTGAAAATGACTCCATTCATCTCTGTTCTAGGTGTTTAGTTTCCACCCATGTCCTTTCATTTTACTCCTGCTCATAGTGAGCATTGCTGTTATTCCAACTTGTCACCTTCTATAAGAATCTTGTTTGTGATATTGCCATCATCTCATCTTTATCTCTTCTGGCAAAGTGATGTCCAGATCATTAAGCCACAGGCTTCACCTGTATATTATAAAACACGTGCACAAGCTTTACCTTAAAATATTTGAAACTGGTATAAATGATTTTAATGATAGTATATTTCTTACTGTAAGACTAAACATTATTGACGATTCTATTTATTAATGTCTTATGATGACGGTAATTAATCTTTTTGGAACATTAGGAGGAGTGTGGTACTTGTTAGTGGAAGAACATAGTTGTGTGCTAAGGAATGAGGGATTTAGGTTGAGTACGTGCATATAATCATACCTTAGGTACACCCGAGTGAACCTAAGGTATGATTACCTTAGGTTCACTTAGGGTAAGGTATTCCATGTAGTTACAGGATGAGAGCTAGGCTGGCAGTATCCTGTCTTCCCAATATTGTGTCATATGATGCTTTGAAACTACTGATGGTTTTGGCATCCACTACCTTCTCATCTATATTATTTCATCCGTCAGTCACTCTGCAAAAGAATTTCAGAACAAAAATATTAAATTATCTTTTGCAAACAGTGGTAGACGGAACAAGGGAGAATGATGTGGATGCCGAAACCATCAGTAGTTTAAAGGCATCATATGACAGAGTATTAGGAAGATGCGACACCATGAACATGGCTTTCACCTTGTAATTACACCTAAGTAATTACACATCAGTACCTTAGGTGCAACTGAGCAGGTGCACACAGCAGTACCTCGGGTGCCGCTGGACAGAAGGGAGTTGAGGCTTCAATCTTCCCCCACATTCACTCTTGAAACCATACAATACACGGTAAATAAACTTGGTCATACTCCTGTAACTTGTATATATATATACGTGTATGAATAATTATACTTGTGTATGGACAAATGTGACATGTTACAAATAATTACTAATTTGTAACGAGAGTACACTAGAAGTGCAGCAGATGTGGTCTTCAGCATATGTTGAATTTGCTACAAGAGCAGTTCAAATGCAATTCACTAATTTCCACAAATGTATTATAATAATTTTCATTTTTTTTAACATTGTAAATTTTGTAAACCTACAAAAAATATCATTTCATCTTGAGATCTGTATAATTTAACAAAGTGCCATTCACAGACCCGAGTTATAACCTCACTTGGAGCAGCCATAAGATCCAAATGTCATGTGCAGGTTCATACTCAATCCAAGCCATGTTCCCTTTGAATTTCTTTATAATTTCTGTTGTCATATGTAATGCACAACTTAATATTTATAAGACAGGAAAACTGCATTGATTGATAATACCTTGTACATACATAGAGAGGTGTGGGATGACATTAAATTGTACCTGTTAAGTACGCTACTCAGCTCTGGTATAGTCATGTAAAAATTAAGTGTTAAATGTAGCAAAATGCTCTTTTTTCTGGTGCGTCCGAAGTGCCTTAACAATGGTGTTAACAAGTTCTAGCCCAACACCCCAGGCCTCCGAGACCCATCCGTAAACTGCCAGGACCATAATCTGACTCATTCTGCAAAGCGAGGGAGACAGGGGATTAAAGATCAGCAAATAAAGTGAGAAAACCATGCCAGAAAACATTGACCTTAAAAAGTGACTGCTTAAGGAAAATTAGGCAACTCGAGGTAAATGATCGTTGCTGCGAGGGTAAATATCCTGACTGACTGATGTACTGTACCTGATTGTCACCCAATGGTAGCTCAGCTCACCTGAGGCCCCTAACCTAGCCAGTCACCACTCTTGAGCCGCCCGGGTCAAACCTCCATAAAAAGGGAACAGGGTCAGAACAGTGAGCCACAGGAGACTTGCCAGAAAGGGCGTTTCATAACATTCATCGCTTGTTCTGCAAAGAACCCTTTATTAGATCCCTGAGCATACAATAATGCCTCAATAGGGGAGGCTAGTTTTTACCAAAATACAAAGGCTAATTGGACCAACCTTTGCGTAAAGAATGAAAGGCCGTCAACAGGAGGACTGACTGCCAGGGACTCGAACTTCAAGATCAGTCGTGGTTAAAATGGAAAAGAAATTTGTTAAAGCGGCAAACATCCACACAACCCCAGATTGGGAACAAGTAGCTGGCTGGCTGGCTGGACTGAAGCACCGTGCAGAGGACCTGGTAAAGATGAGCCTTGGCTTAAGGGGAACACACACAGAGCCTCGTCTTGTTCTACCTTGGCAGAGCCTTATGTCTGGAGAAAAGCGTAACCTCGCCTCTTTCTCCTGGTGTCTTAAGTGTTCTATGATTTCCAGCTGGGGTCTGTTGTGTGCACTATCCTATAGTTGCAAAACAAATAAATAACAAATAAATTGTATTTATTTTGCAGCTATAGGACAGTCCAACAGATTCTGACTGGAAATCATAGAACACTTGAGACAGCCGGAAAAAAAGAGGAGAGGACACGCCCTTCTCCCATATATAAGTGAGAGAGACTGTCATGATAGAACAAGATGAGGTAAAAGTGAGCCAGACTGGATACCGACTCCAGGTAGTTTATGGAAGAGTTTCGGAGGCTTGGTGTACCGAGATAAAAGTTTGGTGTTACCAAAGTTAAGCTTGGGGAAACCACTGAGGCGGATCCCTTCCAGAAACAGGTGATTGTCAGTGTTTGACATCTCTCATTCAAATGTTTTGTAAACAATATATTTTGTATATTAAGATTATATTTAAATACACAGTGAATGCAAGTACAGTATTCTCTTTAAATACTCGGCTATGCCCATTTTATATTTTGTTCATATATTTTATGTACTGGATTTATTAAAATTTGCTCAAGAGCTCCTTTCAAAATGCTATTTTATTTTTCCTTAAATATCGTTTGTCTGCAAGTGCACTAGATTGCTGCAATAAAAATGTACTCAACTAATTATCAATGTCAGTCACATCCCCGTAGATGTTATGACCTATTGTGCCCTATGTAATCTTTCAGTATTACATAGGGCACAATGAACATGAGGATAAAATAAACTTGTTGGTTAGCAAGTTAGTGTGACCTTTTTCAAAATATCTGAAATATCGAAAATTTGACTCCTGAGCGTGATTTTTGAGCTGAATTCTGACTCTCTGCACCTATTTTCATTTTTAAATTACGACTTTTTATACCGAAAATATGCCAATTACTGAAAACATCCATGGGTCATATTTTGCCCAAAACCCCTGCAGTTATCAAAATATCTGAAATGTCTGAAATTTGACTCCAGCGTGATTTTTGAGTCGAATTCTGACTCTGCACCTATTTTCATTTTCAAATTATGACTTTTTTTTTACCGAAAATATGCTAATTACTGAAAACGGCAATGGGTCATATTTTGCCCAAACCCCCCTGCAGTTTTCAAAATATCTGAAATGTCGGAAATTGCTACTTTTAGCAATTTGAATCTGGCAACCCTGAACCCTGGTCTCAGTGGCGTCCGCTGCCTGGTGGGAGGTGGACGTGTTGCTCCACACTCTTCATTTTTGCACGTGGCTGCTACAGCTGGATATTGTGAATTTGTTCTTGATTGTTGACAGTGCCTTTGAGTGTCGAGGAAATGGCAGAGGCGGTATGCCTAAGTGATAATGAGGAGGACAGAGATGATACCAGGCCGTTTGAAGTAGTAGTGAACAGAAGTAAAAGGCGAAATATTCACAGACAGCGAGACAGTGAGAATGAAATAACAAAGAGACCAAAAAATGAAACCCTACTCAGCAGGACGCACGAGAAGCAATTTAATAGAAGAGGCTGTTATTTCCCACAACGTGCCAACTGAACTTCCATCAAAGGCTGGAGTGGACGGTTCGTCTGGCTAAGGAGCGTTTTGAATATGAACCATTCAAGGAGGGTGCTCACCGGCCCTACTTAACAGTTGGGACAGAAACACCTAATGACGGATGGGTTTGAGAATATTGTGATTACTCCGGAAGAAGGTATGATACACACCAAGGTCATGGTGTTTAAGTATCCAACTTATTTGGATCCTGATTATCTACTTCACAACAATGATAATGTTGTTTGGGCAAAGAGGAACAGTGTTCGTGGTGAAAAAACAATGCCAGGTTGTTGCCTTGGTAAAGGGTGAGGCTCCAGAAAGAATTTTTGTACAAGGACTAGACTACAGGAAAGTGGCAAAATACATAAACGATTCTTCGCGGCAGGGGATCGTATTCCAGGGACCATAGGATTAAGGACTTGTCCGAAACGCTACGCGCACTAGTGGCTGTACAAGAATGTAACAACTCTTGTATATATCTCAAAAAAAAAAAAAAATTGAGGAGCCCATATTATGCATGAAGTGTTCTCGTTGGGGACATATGGCATGGAAAGGCCAGTTTGACCCCAGGTGTCGGTTGATTACCTGGTTACCTGGTTGATGGGGTTCTGGGAGTTCTTCTACTCCCCAAGCCCGGCCCGAGGCCAGGCTTGACTGGTGAGAGTTTGGTCCACCAGGCTGTTGCTTGGAGCGGCCCGCAGGCCCACATACCCACCACAGCCCGGTTGGTCCTGCACTCCTTGGAGGAATAAATCTAGTTTCCTCTTGAAGATGTCCACGGTTGTTCCGGCAATATTTCTTATGCTTGCTGGGAGGACGTTGAACAACCGCGGACCTCTGATGTTTATGCAGTGTTCTCTGATTGTGCCTATGACACCTCTGCTCTTCACTGGTTCTATCTCTTCATTTTCTTCCATGTCGTACACTCCAGTACGTTGTTATTTTACTGTGTAGATTTGGTACTTGGCCCTCCAGTATCTTCCAGGTGTATATTATTTTATATCTCTCTCGTCTTCTTTCTAGTGAGTACATCTGGAGGGCTTTGAGACGATCCCAATAATTTAGGTGCTTTATTGCGTCTATGCGTGCCGTATATGTTCTCTGTATTCCCTCTATTTCAGCAATCTCTCCTGCTCTGAAGGGGGAAGTGAGTACTGAGCAGTACTCAAGACGGGACAACACAAGTGACTTGAAGAGTACAACCATTGTGATGGGATCCCTGGATTTGAAAGTTCTCGTAATCCATCCTATCATTTTTCTGGCTGTCGCAATATTTGCTTGGTTATGCTCCTTAAACGTTAGGTCGTCAGACATTATTATTCTCAAATCCTTTACATGCTGTTTACCTACTATGGGTACATTTGATTGTGTTTTGTACTCTGTATTATGTTTAAGGTCCTCATTTTTACCGTACCTGAGTACCTGTATTGTGGTAAGAAACACGACTCGCGAGAGTGTAGAGTTCAGATTAAAAACAACGAAAAAGTCTTGCCATCTTGTTGCAATTGTCGAGGCAGCCACAATGCTGGTTACTATCTATCCCCCATGAAGCCTCATCTGAGAGACTCCAGGACGGGTCCTACAAGCAGGATAGATTTATCCTCGAAGGAAGGAAGGATTGTGCAGCAGGAACATGGAGGAAACAGCCGGAAGCCAACGACAACCCCTATGTGCAATGTGTGGGAGAAAGGAACGGAGACAATTAAGGTGAGCCTAGGGAAAGTAGGAAATGCAGTTGAAAAAATGAAACCTTGTGGAGATAAGGCTCAGGACAATATAGTGAACTCGGAGGTTTGTATTCAAATATTGGAATATCTAAAAAACTAGACAAAAGGATTGAGGCATTAGAAAAATTAGCTATGAAGGGTAGACGGGGTGAAGATGGTGGTGAAACAAAACGTGAAATGAAAAGTGAAACAGGACGTGAAATGGAAAGTGAAACGTGCGTAGAAGAAACTAAGGAAGAACATGGCGTATTGATGATAGAGGATAGTCAGAAAAATGAACTTTCTAGTAATGTTAGCGGTGTTCAACCTTCTGTAGTGACAAATGTTGAAACAAAGGTTAGAGTAAAACGGTATACAGAAATAAAAAAGAAAATAGATATGAATAATATTACCTTTGATGTTAGTAGCTGTTGTGCAAGTGAGGAGAAAGAAAAAATGTTACGGTGTTGGAAGGAAGTTTCTAAGGTACTCTCGTATCTCATGGAATGTGACGGACACGGCAAATGTAGTTTTATTATTAATCATGGATGAAAGTAAATTGAGAATATTATCTTGGAACGTTAATGGATTAAAAACTAGAGCGGTGGATGTACACTATTATACTCTTAGAGAGAATATTGCCATAGTAGCACTCCAGGAAACTGGGGATAGTGATGGTAGCATTCTGAGGCTAAATGGCTATACAAGTTTTCACTTATATGCTGATGGAGGAATTAGGGGAGTCTCATGTTATGTCAAAAGTACCATACTTGCTGAGATAACTGGAATCCCTCAGGGATATAGAGGTATTGAAAGTATTAGTTTGCGGATTCGATTGCAAGACCGAGAGTTAAATTTCATTAATCTATACATTTCTGATAGCTCCCTTGATTTAAGAGACTTGCCAGATTCCTTCTTTTCTGAAGATACTCTTGTGGTAGGGGATTTTAATGCCAGACATCCAGCACTAGGATCATGGGGTAAAGCAAATAGGAATGGTTGCAGATGGTACCAGTTTTGGATGTGTGATAATGGTATGATAGACAGAATACTTAGGAGCTACAAGAATTTTGCCCCAAGAGTGTAACACTTATATGCTGTGCTTACTATATTAACCTGCAATGTTAAATGGGATTCTTGTACTGTATTGTGATTTGTGCATTTGTACTCACTGAATTTGTGCGCCCCTTTAGGGACTTGAAGTGGAGGGGATAGAAATAGCCTAAGCTACTCTATCCCTTTGAGATGTATTTTTTTCCTGTCTCAATAAACATACTTGAACCTGTTGTCTTGCCACTCTTGGCATATTAGTCAAGTAAATTGTACTTAAGAAACTAAACAACTTTATATTTTCATTGCATTTTTATTAATCTGTGAATTGCTTGACAAATAAATGATACATTAAAGGCATTTTATTGCTACATTTACTGTGTTAATGCACCGAGATAGTTTTATCAACTGTCCCATTTTCTTTTATTAAGTTTGCATCATTTTATTTATCCTTCTAGCACACTTTTGTTTTTCCCCTCCCACTGTTTCTTCTCCTTCCCTCCTTTTGTGGTGTTCACCAACACTCGTCACTAACATCTCGAGATCATAAGTAAACCTGTTTTTGTTCTCATTAAAGGATATGGTTGAGACGTCTACAGCCCTACGTCGTCCGGTCCAAAGGGAGCAGACAGAAGAAGCAGGTTGTGGCCTGTGTGGAATAATATGTATTTATACAATACAAGATGGAGTATTTGATGGTGCCCGGATCGACCCCAAGAGGTTGCTAGGAGCTCCAGAATGCACATCTGCCATGATATTAATAAAACTGTAGAAACATATAGGACAAATAATAATACAAAATCAATCTTCATTGGGGTTACAATGGGAGCTGTCCTCTCTTAAGCAGGGCAATGGGGACGATCCAAGCCCTCTTATGACAGTCATTAAACCCCCACCATTCAACATGTAAAGTTGGCTGAGGCTAACCCTAAACATCTGGCCTCAGACATAATGTAAAAATTTTATAAATGATATACTTTGTGCGCTTCAGGAATTAGGATTATGGAATCGGCCTCTCGGGCCTGACAGCTGAGTGGACAGTGCTCGGGATTCGTAGTCCTAAGGTTCCGGGTTCGATCCCCGGTGAAGGCGGAAACAGATAAGCATAGTTTCTTTCACCCTGATGAACCTGTTTACCTAGCAGTAAATAGGTACCTGGGAGTTAGACAGCTACGGGTTGCTTCCTGGGTGTAACGAAAAGGAGGCCTAGTTGAGGACCGGGCCGCGGGGACGCTAAGCCCCGAAATTATCTCAAGATAATCTCTGTTATGTCTGCTCCATTGAT